AAACAACAAAAAAAACAAGGACATCCTTCTCTATAATCAGCATACAAGTCTACAATCAGGTAATTAACATTGGTACAAACTAATGTCTAATTCACAGCCCATACTGAAATTTTGCTAACTGTCCAACAATTCTCTGGCCTTTTCAGTTTAGGATCTTATCTAGCAATAAAGGTTTCTTTTATTTATTTATTTATTTTTTAAAGATTTTATTTATTTATTTGAGACAGAGAGAATGAGAGAGAGAGAGCACATGAGAGGCGGGAGGGTCAGAGGCAGAGGCAGGCTCCCTGCCGAGCAGGGAGCCCGATGCGGGACTCGATCCAGGGACTCCAGGATCATGACCTGAGCCGAAGGCAGTCGCTTAACCAACTGAGCCACCCAGGCGCCCACCAATAAAGGTTTCTTTTAGTTGGCATGTCTGCTCAGACTGTTTCAATGTGAGTGTGAACCACATAAATGTTCACTGGGTGATAAATCAATGGCTGGGCACCTTAGTTTTGTGCATTGTTCTGTGTGTATATTTCTCAATAACAATGTTAATTTTTAACAAAATGCTTCGTTTTAAATAGAAAACTAATCACATCGATATACTGCAAACATAGTATTTGCTTCCAGAATCCAAATTTCTCCATAAATCCTTTCTCAGTCAGCCATATATGTAAAGCCCAGAAGTTTAAACTAATTTTGAAGCAGTGATTAAAGAGTGAAAAATCACCTTACCAAGTAGCAGATGCCAAGAGAGAGCCAAACCTCCCAAAATGGATTTTTATCGGGACCCCTACCAACATGTCCCTACAAAAAATTCATTCCCCTCTTAATTTATATGGTCACTTAAATATGGTATAGTTGTTCTCATTCTAAATAAAGGAGCTATATACATTCATATTTTGATCACAGGTTTTAGTTGAAGGTGTTAAAAAACAAAATTCAACTCAATAAATTTGAACATCTAATTGGCTTTAATTAAGCAATTCATGAACCAGGTAGCATCCCATCTGGCAAACTGAGAGATGCTCTGAGGAGTTGTATAAAATTGAAGATTTTTATAGGAAGGAGGTTGGGGCAAGAAGTTATTAGCAAAAGAAAGAAAGAATTGCTTCCGGAAAAGTCTCTTTCCCTTCAGGGGGAAAGATAGAAGGTCTTATCCTGCAGATTATCTCATCTGCCTTTGGTGGTGTGTAGTGCAGGGGTGAAAGGTTGGAGAGGGCCCAAGTGACAGGTTACCTAATTGGTGCTGACCAGAAAATTCCAGATTGATTTGCTTAAAATTCCACTCCTAGAGAGGTTGAAATTGCAATTAAGTCTTGGTTTGCTGTCCTGGGGGTTAGTGACTCCACCTTAGGTCTGTGGTTTTCTTTTTAACAAAGATATAAAAAAAATGACAGACTAAATTTATGAGATATATTGCTAGACCAATCCATTTTAATATAGCAGTGGATTTTTTTCTGACCAAAAAGACAGAGGTAGAATTTTCTAGGGGCTCTGACAGCTGCTTTTGCAGATCATTTCCAAGGGATGTTTTTTGAAATGCAGCTTCTGGAAAATCCACTTATGATGGACTGGTGGAGAGAGCTGGGGAATGGACTGGCTCAACGCTTTGCCCTGTTGCTAATGCCAGAACAGGGAGCTAGGGTCTGGCCCATCCAGGTGCTCACGGGTGTGTGTGTTGGGGGGCGGGGGGAGGGGGGGGAACATATGCATGCCCACTTGCTGAGACTGGGGTGGCAGCAAACCTGAACTGAGGAAGGAAGTTGATGCCAACCAGGCTTAAAATTAGACATGGTCTCTTTCTGGCAGTTTTAGGGATAAAAAGTTTTGCATCTTTATGTCCTAATTATGCAGACCTATTTTCACGGGTACCTTTGGCTCAATTTGATATGCAGACCGGAACAGCACCAAGGGCTTTCCCCCCCTATCCTTAACTGTATGTTTCTTTAGCTTTAAGCGAAATTGCTTATCCAAAGGAAATATGCCCTTTGCAGAAAGTTGGCCCACAACAAGCACCCTTGTATGGACTTTATTCTTCGGGTTTCACATCCCCACTCCCAACCCCATCGACGGTATTCTCGAAAACCTCCAGTTCACAAAATGTCAAAGGTGAAAACCGTCTGGAGATCACGTCACAGTCCCATCTCCGTTTTTTCAAGTCAGGAAACTGACCCCAGAGAAGCGTGGGTACCAATCACGGTCATGCCAATACTGACAACACGAGGCCCAGGACCTGGGCTTCCCCATCTCGCTCACTGCTCTCTCACCTCAAATATGTGGGGTGGACTTTTCGAATTAAAGAAAAAAAGGAGGAAATACTGTCCAATGCCACTTTCAACCATAGATATTGCCCCCAACTTTCCCAAATAGCGTGCGTTGGCAACCATGGATTTCATTACCCTTTAATTAAGGAACTAGAAAGAACCAACCTCGCAGGGAGCCCTAACTGCAGAACTACCTGTAAATTTAAAAGAATTTTAAAAGCAAAACAAAACAACAAAAAAAAAACGCCGTTAGCATCTGCCTTCCACCTTGTGTGTAGTACTAACTCTGCTCTCTCACTTCTTCGCTTTCAAAACGACCCACGCCAACGAGGGAGGCTGGGACGCCAGGGGAGGAAAGTGAAGAGGGAAAGGCCAACGGGGGTTCCTGGGGTGGCGCCCACCGAGGACTGGCCCGGGAGCCCCAACGCGGGCGGCTGTGCGCACGCGCGCGGGTCGGCGGGCGGCCGCTAGCCCGCACCCCGCTTCACTCTGCTTTATTTAGCCCTTTGGCGCAGCCTCCTCCCACACCCCCAACGCCCCAAGTTCAGGATGACAGCGGATGGGACGGGGGAAACCCCAAGGCATCCTCAGAAAGCGAGGTTTTGGAAGATCCGGGGTTCGTGGGTGAGCAGGAGGAAGGCAAGGAGGTTAAGGGCAAAAATCTTAAGCCGCCCCTAGCTGGGTTTCCGCAAAAGTCTGAGAGAGACGCCAACGCCGCAGCTCCCGGCGGGCCGGAGGGCAGGAGACTGGGCAAGCGGAACGCGCGGGACCCCGAGGGGAGGGGCGGAGCTGGGGGCGGGGCCTGCTGCACTCCCTTGAGACCCCGCCCCTCGGACCAACCTCCCGCCTTGCCATTGGAGGGCTTCGGGGGCGGGTACGAGGGACACCCCCCTCTCGCCACCGGCCCCCGCCCCGCCCCCTGCCCGCCTGTGCCTTCGGCCCTTCCCGGAGCCTCTGAGCACTCGGAAAGGAAACACCCGGGCTGCCACAGAGCGCCTGGACGCTGGAAAGGCGGGCCCCCCAGTCACCCAATCCGCCGGCCTGGTGACGTCACCAGGGGTGGAGCTACGTGGCTCCGCCCCCGGGGCCTGGGCCAGTGCCCCCACCTCGGAGTCTGCGGCTCCCGCGGGACGCGGGGAAGCGGCCGCCCTGTGCAGAGGCTCCACGTCACAAAGTGCTGCAGTCAGTACCCCGCACTCCCCTTCAGCCCCTCACTCTCCACAGCATGTCCCACTCCTCTTTTTTTGCCCCTTTCTCTGACTTTGAATCTCCAAATGTCTGAGAGAGTGTGGGGACCCTGGAGATGGGAGCGCAGATGGCACGCTGCCTGAAGAAGTAAATCCGATTCGATTATCTCCTTTATCCGTTTTCATTTCTACTGCCTATTTAATATCTCGATGTTTTCTCGTTTATTTTTGGAAGATTTGGGGGGTTGTTTTCTTTTCCTTTTTTTTGTTTTTTGTTTTCTCTCTTCAGGGACTTAAAGTTGGCCGATGCCTTCTGTAGCTTTTGATTTTAAAAAACTGGGATTTAGTCATCTTTTCGTGCAGAAAGGAAAGAAACCAAAGCCTAGGGGCCTTTAGAAAGGAAAGAGCCCTGTTTTGTTTTTTATTCTTAACTCAAGCTGTCGTCGTTAGCACCTTGCACCGAGCACAGACGCAGCTGCAGAAGCACTCCGTTGCAGAGTAGGCTGCGTCTACACCGGGTTTGTGCCTGAGCATCAAAAGACAGTGCAGGTGTATGTGGATGCGGGTGTGCGTGTGCGTACGTGATGTACGTGTGTGCGTGTGTGTACGTGTGTGTGGCTCAACAAATAACCCCAAGAGGCGCATCAGGATCAGAAAGAGTCCCGCATACTATCAATGGCCTAGGAAATTTCCTAAAGCTTTGAGAGTTAGTAAATCTCTAGTATCCGAAAATCATCTTTTCAGGGGCTCGTTTCTCCGTGCTCTCCTGTCCCCCCAAACAGGTGTTGCTGTGTCTCGTGAATCGGCCTCACGCCGGCTGGGGCATCCGAAGTGGTGAAATTCACAGAGGGCACACCGTGTATATTTCAAGGGCCCCACCTGTGCGGACCAAACCCCCGGGCCTGGGCGTGTGCGCGCGCTCCCGTGCAGTGTGAGCAGGAGGGCACGGGGGGGCTCGGCTTGCGGGCGTGCGCGAGTGTGTGCGTGAGTGTGTGCTCACGCGCTCTAGGCTGCGCCCAGAGCTCAGCTGCTGGGTTGGAGAGAAAGAGGGTAGGCAAGTGCAGGGGGCAGGAGGCTGAGTGGGGATGTCGAATTAATAGAGCTGCTTTAGCTGTTTTCCCTCTCCCGTTCTTGCTCGTTTAAACCCCACAGCAACGTAGGGATAGGGGGCTGGATTCTCTGTTGAGCTGATGGAGGAGGGGGGAGTAAGTTGAAACAACCGAGTGGGCGCGCCAGGACTCCCCGGCTCCAGGCGGGGAGGGGAGAGGGAGCCCCTGCTCCGCGCAGGGAGGAGGCGGGGTTCGGGGACCCCGGGAACAGCGAGAAGGCGGGGGTGGCCGCGGGGACGGGCAAGTGGTCACCTCCGGGAGGCGAGAATTCGTTTGAATCGCACATTAATTGGAGATATCTGATTAATTCCAGCTTCTGATGACTATAAATGGCGATTCTCTACCAAGGTGTCTTTATTTAAAAAAAAAAAAAATCATTCCGTGTCATCCCCCACGTCAGGCCTGCTCGTGGGCGTGAGGCTGTACTTCCTCCGCCCCCTCCTAATGGAGTGAACCATTCCCAGCTCTTCCCCCCTCTCTCTCTCTCTCAGCCTCTCTCTCTCTCTCTTTCTCTCTCTCTCTTCCTCGCTCCCTCTCTTTCTCTCCTCCCTCTGCCTTCCCCGTGCATAAAGTCTCCGTCGCTCTTGGAACTTGTTGGCAATGCCTATTTTTCAGCTTTCCCCCGCGTTCTCTAAACTAACTATTTAAAGGTCTGCGGTCGCAAATGGTTTGACTAAACGTAGGATGGGACTTAAGTTGAACGGCAGATATATTTCACTGATCCTCGCGGTGCAAATAGGTAAGTGGCCGCCGGGCCGGGCTTGCGGATGGTGGCAGGCGGTAGCCGGCCCGGCCCGCGGCGCCGAGGGGGACCGACTGGCCCGCGGCTGCCGGGGGGGTACAGAGAAGCCGGCAAACCCCCAATGGTGGGGGCATCGGCTCCTAGGGACTCGCGCGTCCCGAGTTGGTTTTTCTTAAAAAAAGAGACTCCAAACGTTCGCCAGGAAATGTATGCAGCTGGCCGTTTTCAGGAGGGGGCTTTCCCCCCCCCTCCCTTTTCCCCCCAAAGCGCACGTCCATTTTTGCTTCCCTTTCTCGGGTTAGACCAGGTTTTCTGCGTTCTGGGGCAATGCATTGACCCCTGCGATATGGCAAGGTATTATTTTGAAGGGTCGAAAGGTGAATGCAGGAACAAGATGGCTAGGCAGCTAGAATGGAAAGTTTATGTGCAGAAAGCAAAGATATTTCGGGGCTCAGACTGCTGCATTTAGAACTTTGTCATTCTCCCGCTCCCTACCCCCCCATATCCTAGCTGCAGCGTTTGCACCGGGCACCGCAGACCCGGCTGGGGTGCAAATTGAGAATGATAGGGAACCCCAGAGTACATATTTAAATATGCTTATCATTGAGGAGGTTGAATTCAGCCAGATATACGTGGATATAATTTTCTATATATGCCTGTTCCTTTCCACATAGGCATCCGAATTATTTATATAGGAAAGGGTTAAGAAGTGTTTGCAATATGTCACGTCCAGGGTTTGTTATTTTTGTTTGTTTGGGGTTAATTATGATGGATTTATTTAGTCCCCATTTTATGTTAAGGAATGTTGAGTCCTAGTTACACTGTTTTGGGGCTTTTAAAAGTTCACGTTTTTCCTTACAGAATGAGGAAGACGTGATGAAAGGCAGCACTAGAAACCCCACTTCTTCGATGCAGGTTGGAGCATTAATTAACCTGACCTAAAAGTGAAAGTGAAGTAGATTATTAATAGAATGGACAAGAGAAAAAATAGAAACTCTTCAAAAGGGTTTTCTGGAGACCGAGGGAATTGTTGCCTCCTATCATATCAGGTTGTAGCATTCTTTACAGACAACCCCTTGCAGTATTTGGATAGGAGGATGCTTTAGGGAATGGGGCAGGAGAAAATGCATAATATTTTTCTCCATGAGAAATGTGGAAGAAATAGGGTTTGGAGTTATCTGTACATTAAAATGGATTCTTTGCAGTGTTGGGTTTTTTTTTTTTTATGCATTTGACATGATTTTGTGTATGTGATTTTTTTTGCATGAACATTACGGGGATTTTAGACTGTGCAGGATGTTGGCGTTTTCCTTTAATTCTAAGAAATGACTTGATATTTTGAGTTTGGTTCTTTTGAATCTTTGACATTAGGGAAAAGAGATTCAATAAAATTAATAATTGCAGCAAATCCCTTAAATGTGGGAAGTGAATGTGGCATTTTGCAACTAGCCTGCAAATTTTTAGAGAGCAAGAGACAGCATTTATTTTTGATATAGGGATTTTAAGTGGAGCAGGTCTGGGGCTCTGTTTTCCTGGAGGGAAATAACCTTACTTTGGAGGGGTTTTAAAACCAGAGAGAGAGATTGTGCATGCGGGATAGCTTGGAACACATTAACCTCGACCGGAAAATGACCATTTGTTGGTTGTGGAATTGAAATTGAGCATGTTTGTTCCCGAATGTCTGCCCTTTCCCGCACCAGAGCCTCAATCTTTAATTCATGGCTGGGAGCTGTCCCAAATCATTGACATTTGGCAACAAAAGTGGGGGTTGGGAAAGGACGAGGATGGAGAGGGTGGTGAACGCAAATGAAGACACGCGGGAGGAAGTTTGAAATGAATGAGAGGTCGAACGAATGAATGAACGGATGGAAAAGGCACAAGACGCGGACACCGGAGAGGAGAGGGAAGGAGCCCAGGTCGCCCGCCCGAGCCTCGCTGAAGCCGGGTTCAGGAAGGACAGCGAGGGTCGCACGGGCTGTGACCTGCTCGGATGCATGAGCTTCAAAACACGTCCCGCGCGCAAGCTCCGGTCCTCCCACAGCGAACTAGGGACGAAGCAGTTATAGTTGCAAAAAAAAAAAAAAAACTCAGAAATTTTCACGGCTTCTTATTTTACACACGCATTCACTCACACATGCGCGGTGTGGAGGGTCTTCTCCTCCAGCAGCGCCCGCAAAGATAACGTGACAGGAGCGCTTCCCGCCCCCGGCGAGCCCCAATTCCCCCTTTTCCCCCTTTAAAATATTGTCAGTGCGTCTTAGGGACTACTTCTTCGCCACTGAGTTTTGGGGGTGGGGGTAAAGGGTAAGGAGAGACGGGGAGCTGGGTGGGGGAGGGGAAGAGGGACTGTATTTTACTTCGTTTTGGAGCTGCGAAGCTGCATTTGTGGCATGCATTATGGAGGAGGATGTGTAGGGTTCATTTCATTGTGACCGCATTCTAGTAGAACAAAGATTCGTTTTTTCTACCTCAGTGTTCTTTTTGATACGGCAGTCGCAAGGGCTTTTAATATTTCTCGGGGATGGGGGGAGGGGAGATTCATGAAGGTTTACGAATCTGCCCGAGCCGAGGTCGAAGTTAACCTTAGTCCCTTCCCCGGCGCTTCCCGTTCCGGATTAGAAAGCGCAAGGCCCGCCTCGCTCTTCCTGCAGCAATTTGCAAACGGGGAGCTCTCGGAGGCTGCTGCAGGTTCGGTCACCTTCCCTCTTGTCTGCGTCTGGCCCGGCTCTCGGGGACCAGCGGCTGGGGGTGGTGGGGGCAGCGAGGTGTATGGTCCTCTTTGGAGACATTCACATACAAGCCCTGGAGGCCAGAACACCGCCCAGGAAGGAGCCAGCGCTCTGGGTCGCGGGTACTGGAGGCCGATTTCCATTCTGAGAAGATTCGCCCCTTCCCTCTGCTCCCCTAGCCCCAACCGCGCGGATCAAAGGCTCATGCGCCCCTCCTGGTCCCCTCGCGTGCTTTTGGCCGAACGCCAGCGAACGTTTAGCCTGTTTCGTTGGCCTTGGGGTGGAGAGAAATGGCCTTGGCAATGGCAGTCCGGCGCCGTGGGGTTTGACCGCCCGAGGCCAGGAGAGAGGACTTTGGTGCCTCTTGGGTTACCTCCCTTCCCCCTCCTCCCCTGGTCCCGGCCGCTATCCCGCCCCGCCTCGCCCCCTGGAGGGAACCCAGAGCTAGAGGCCTAGAGCCCAGGGCGACGGCCACCTGGGCCCTTCAAGGTTGGGGCCTGGAGAGAAAAGGTCCCACCCGCTGCAGGCGGATTGGTGGCTGGTTTTTCGGGATGTGTGGGGCGCTGAGCCGCGGACAGAGTTTCACGGATTTGGCCCCCGCGGAGGTAACCCGGGGTCACCCGTGCCAACACAGCCGTGACTCTGCCCGGCCCTGAGTGCCCCGACCACTCATCACCCCCGCCCAGTCTCCGGACACCAGGCTGCTCTTTCTCCAGTGGGGTGGGGAGGCTGCGTGCGAGGATCGCACTCGGAACACATACTCCACGGTAGGCAATCAGTTTTATAATGAAACAATCCATTTTGATGGCTGCTGCTGGCTTCCGGAGACTTTATTAATTTAGTCATTCAGCAGTGTTTGCTGAGCACCCAACCAAGCATGGGGAGCTGGCCCGAGGCTTTCTCGCACGACATGGCCTGAGGTTCAGCTGCGTGGCCCCACGCTTTCCCGCCTCCTCACCGCTTCCTGGCCCCCGCACTCTGCTGTCGTTACCCCCTCTGTCACCTCAGAAATGCAAGATCGCACTTCGAGAGCCAGCACGGACTTGCTGGGGAAGTGTTGGGAAACGAAGGAGGGAGTGAGGAGAAAGAGAGAAATAAAAGAGACGGGGGAGGTGAGAAGAGGGGGCGATGGAAACAGAAAAAGATGCAGAGCGAGATGCGGGAGGGGGCTGCGGGAAAAGAATGGACTCGCCTCCCCCTCCCGCACCGGCTCACACGCAGACGGTCGGCACAAGTCTGTATTTGGGGGCGGGTCAGTCCCTCTTGGGCCACATCTTGCCTTCACCTTTAACATTGGCGCCCCGCGAGGCTGGGCGTCGCGTCCGGGGCTGGCGGGCCGCGGGGATGCAGGGCAGGGTCGCGACGCTGCTGACCGGTGTCCCCTCCTCCCCGCAGCGTACCTGGTGCAGGCCGTGAGAGCAGCGGGCAAGTGCGATGCGGTCTTTAAGGGCTTTTCAGACTGTTTGCTCAAGCTGGGCGACAGCATGGCCAATTACCCGCAGGGCCTGGACGACAAGACAAACATCAAGACCGTGTGCACGTAAGTGTCCTCTTTGGCCTGCTGGGTTTCTGTTCTGGGGGGCGCTGCTGAGGTCGGTGAGGGCTTGCCTGCGGGCCTACGCTCTGAATTCCTCGCCAGCGCCAATCAGTGCGTGCTGGGCTTTGGACTCACGCCCTCAGGCCTCGGCCAGGGTCTGCACTGCCCAAGGGGATCCTGTGGCCTGAGATGGGCAGAGGAGGATCCTCCCACGCGGGAGCCAGGTCCAGTCCTGTGCATCCTCACCCACACCCACAGAGGCGCCGGCACTCAGGGCGCTGGAACCAGGAGCGAGGGGCAGAGAGAACTGCTAGCAGTTCCTCGCTCTACTTTACGGCAGTCTTCATCATTCTTTTTTTTTTTTTTTTTTTCCCTGCGTGAATAAGTGGACTGCTGTGTACTCTCCGAAGAACAGTTGGTTTTGGTTTGAGGAGCGTTTTAGGAAATACTAGCTTTGCATAAAGGAAAAGTCAAAGTCACTGGCTTGTTGTCCATTTCCCCTGATAAAACCCCCTTGCACTACACACCAAGAACATTCAGGGGTAGGCAAGGGACCGCGGGTCCCTCTTTCTCTTTCTAAGAGAGAAGCTGAAAGAATATTTTGTTTTGTGCCAATGATTTTGCCCAAGAAAAGTATGTCCTGGGCATCCACTGACCATCTCTGCTGAGTTTGTGGCAGATTAGAGGTTTGGGAGAGCCACCCCCTTTGCCCGCCCCCCTTCCCCTCTGCATTCACTGGGTATCCCTAGGCCATGGCAGCTAAGGGCTAGGAAGGAGTTCCTGGCCAGGTACAGGGGCTTTCCCCAGCGCTTGGCTGAAAAGCACTGCTCCCACTAGCAAAGGAAGTAACTAGCAGAGAGCCCTACGGTAGTAGACCAGCGACATTTTAGTTGCTGCGGACCTTAGAAGTACCTCCATCCTCTAGCAACACACACTCACTCACACACACACACACAGACTTCTTTTATTTTACTTCATTTTATTTTTCACAAAGAGCTGTAACTCCCACCACTCACCCAATAATGGCCCTTACCAAAAAGCCAAGGCAAGAGGTGTTCCTTGTTCCCCATAGGCTGATGAAACCATATTCTGCACCATCCTTTGTATACAGTGAAGTCCTTGTTCTCTCCCTAATTCCTGGGGAGGGGGTGTTTATTTGTTTAAATAATGAGTAATTAAATGGGGGTCAATTTTGCCACACACTTTCCTAAATACCCCGGTGTCCATCAAAAGCCACAGCAGTAGGTAGCTGGTACCTTCCTATCAGAAAAGGGACAAAAGGCTAGATCTGGGTTGCATATCCACCTACTTTAATTCCAAATGTCTGATGATAGGTAAGAATGTATCTATATGAAGCTTGACAAAAGGTTAGATATTGATCGGCTCCCAAACCTTCTATTATTTGCCAGAATTCAGTTATTCCAAGTTTTTAAAAATTTTTTAGCAGGACCTGGTCCTGGAGGATAGAAGTGAGGAGGACCCCGCCCCCCCCCTCCCCGAGGCTGCAGGCCACTGCTGGGTCTGGGCTCCCACTTCATTAATGGTACTGGTTGCTCAACATTCTGCTGAAGCCCATCACCTCTCAGTTCCGTGTGGATATCTGTCCTTTTTCACCATATTCCTCTTCCAGGAGGGTCCTGTCCCCATCTGGGCATGCATAAAGAAAGAAGAGATTTAGATATCCTTTGGGAGGTGCAGTGAGAGCAGAGAGCTGTCCCTCCGCCTCTTAGTTTCTCTAAATCTTGCTATTTATTATGAATTGAGGAACCTGGAAGCCCTCTGCTCCAGGCTTCCCAGTCCTCATAAATTAGAGACTCACAAAGGTCGTTAGAAAACAGCCAGAGCTCAAGGCAATCCAACAGGCATTTATATCTTTGCTATTAGCCAGAGGATGGGGTGGGAGTGGAAACAAGGATAAATCAAACATGGTGCTTGCCTTCAACGTACTTACAGTCCAGGCTAGCGAGCAGAAGGGAGAGATAGGAGAAAATACAACCAGCTTGCGTGGAGGGCGGTCGCTAGTGACCCGGCGCTAAAGGCCCTTGGGTGAAGTGGGAGCCAGCCCGGAGTTACCGAGACGCGCAGATCGACCCAGCACCGAAAGGAGACAGCGCCCCAGGAATCGATCACGGGTTGGAATTATATTTAGTCTCGGGATCTATTTCGGGTTTTCGGAAGAAAGGGGGACAATAAAAAAGGACAGGTTGGTTGAAGGTTGTGGGGGGCGGGGCTACGAGCTGAGCCCAGGGGGAGGAAGTGGCTGAGGAAGAAGGCGCGGGGCTCCGTGAAGAGGCGGGGGAGCGAGGGCGAGGAGCGGAGTCCCTGGAAGGCTGGCAGCGGTGGGCACCGCGGTGGCACCGGAGTCCCGGCCTGGCGGGCTGCACACTACACCCGGAAGGCCGTGGGGAGGAGGCTGCATGGGGTCCAAGTCCACGAATGACTCTGGAGGGGGAGAAGAGGAGGGACCGAGCGCGCAGGGCCGAGAGCACTGGGATTTGCAAAGCAGAAGGTGGCTACAGAGCTGGGTGGGCCCAGGGCACCGACACTCACCAACTCGGGGAGGAGAGAGGCAGGCAGGAGTCTCCGGACCGAATCTGAGCCGGGGGGACCGTGGAGAGCGAGGCCAGGGGCCACGGAGGGCCGAAGAGGAGGGGGAGAGGAGGAGGAAGAGGAAGTGAGGAACCGAACAGAGGAAAACCGAGGGGAGGGAAAAGGAGGAAGACAAAGAAGGGAAGAGGAAAGGATGGGAAAATCGGAGAACGGGAAACAAAAGGAAGGGCGGAGGGAGAGTGCGGGCGAAGGCGAGAGAGTACCGCAGAGAGGAGGGGGGGGGACACAGAAGGGACGAGGGGGAGGAGAAAGTGAGAAGCCAAGAGGGGAGGGCCGTGCTCTGAGCAAGTAACCCATCTTGCAAGCTAAGAGGCATTAATGGGCGGCAGCTTGCAAGGCTTAGCACTGTTTTCCTAGCTTTCCCCGAGGAGGACGAGCAATCTGTTTGCGCAGGCCGAGGTGCCAGCGCCCCGCAGCGGGTGCGGCCCGGCTCCCGGCTGCCGGGTCCCCGCCCGGGAGCGGGAAAGAGAAACCAGACGCCGCAGGGGGCGGCCTCTGCCCTCGGACGACGGCTTCCAGGGTGGGCCGAGGTCTGGCGAGGACCAGCCTAGCTGGACCCCGGCGCCAGGCGGGTGGAGAGGAGCTGGGGTGGCTGCGGGAGCGGTTTGCGAAGGCCGCGAGGCGGGGGAGGCGCAGGGGTGCAGGCCCGGGTCGTCCCCGCGCTCAAAGTCAACCTGCTTCTTCCGTTTTGTTCTGTTCCTCGCCAGATACTGGGAGGATTTCCACAGCTGCACGGTCACAGCCCTTACGGATTGCCAGGAAGGGGCGAAAGATATGTGGGATAAACTGAGAAAAGAATCCAAAAACCTCAACATCCAAGGCAGCTTATTCGAACTCTGCGGCAGCGGCAACGGGGCGGCGGGGTCCCTGCTCCCGGCGCTCCCCGTGCTCCTGGTGTCTCTCTCGGCAGCTTTAGCGACTTGGCTTTCCTTCTGAGCGCGGGGCCGGCTCCCCCCGCGCGCCCACCCACACTCACTCCATGCTCCCGGAAATCGAGAGGAAGATCCATTCGTTCTTTGGGGACGTTGTGATTCTCTGTGATGCTGAAAACACTCATATAGGATTGTGGGAAATCCTGATTCTCCTTTTGATTTCGTTTGATTTCTTGTGTTTCATTTGCCAAACGTTACCGATCAGTGAGCAAGCAAGCACAGCCAAAATCGGACCTCAGCTTTAGTCGGTCTTCACACAAAAATAAGAAAACGGCAAACCCACCCCATATTTTTTTTTAATTTTTAATTTTTATTTTTGGCACAAGAATCTCAGGAACGGCCCTGGGCCACCTACTATATTAATCATGTTAATACATGACAAATGATGGGCTCCTCCTAATAAGAAAGAGAGGAGAGGAGAAGGCCAGGGGAATGAATTCAAGAGAGATGTCCACGAGGAAAGCATATGGTGAATAACTCACGCTCACGTCTTTCTTCCACAGTATCTTGTTTTGATCATTTTCACTGCACATTTCTCCTCGAGGAAAGTGAAAGGACAGATTGTTGGCTTTGTGGTTTAAGGATAGGAGGGAGAGAGGGAAGGGATTGAGGAAATCTCGGGTGTCTAGGTAAAGGCTTCCAGAAGAATCGCTGCTAAAGTCACTGAGAGGTTAAGCTTTACCTGCTGTTGTCGATGCATCTTTCCAAGTCCACTGCCTTTATTTTCCCTCTTGTTTTAGCTGTTACACATACTGTAATACCTGAATATCCAACGGTATAGATCACAAGGGGGGGGGGTGTTAAATGTTAATCTAAAATATAGTTAAAAAAAGATTTTGACATAAAAGAGCCTTGATTTTAAAAAAAAAGAGAGAGATGTAATTTAAAAAGTTTATTATAAATTAAATTCAGCAAAAAAAAAGATTTGCTACAAAGTATAGAGAAGTATAAAATAAAAGTTATTGTTTGAAATGGGGGTGTCGTTTGTTTCCTGCCCCAAGCCTGCTTTCTTGCCCCAGTGCCCGGGTTACCCGTAGGGACAAGTGATGCCGCAGGATACATGCACCTGTTCGCAAGCCAGTTGATAACCTACCATCTTCAAGCAGGCCCTCTTCAACTAGGTCATTTTGCCACTTTTCCGAAATTCTGTTTACTTAAAGAAAAGAAAGAGGAAGTTGTATTTTTAATAAATAAAAAGCAGAGATCTTTTCTAGGTGAGGTTTCGGGGAATTGGGGTTTCGCGAGAAAACACACGCAGACCCAAGGCCGGTGCCCAGCCTGCGGCCCCCGCCCCAGGCGGTCGGAGCCCTAACCACGATCCGTGCAGGCCGAGTCCTAACCACGATTCGCCTCTTCCTCTGCGGTGGCCGGAGGCCGCTTGCGAACGAACCGCCATTAAGGGCTCTAGCAGAGGGGCCAAGGAGAGACTGTGGTCCCTGGCAGGGATCAGGTGAATCCTTTCATAATTAATAAGACAGCTCAGCTGAAATGGCGAGGAGACGGGGCCCCATTGATCTGGCAGTCAGCTGCTTCCACCTCTCCTATTTATAGGCCCCGCATGGCCTTACGGAGAAGTAACATTCGAGAGTAAACACCAGCAGAGGAGACCGGGGTCCAAGGCCACAGGACCTGGAGCAGGCTGGGGGAGGGAGACCCGAGCGTACGTCTCTGGGTTCAAGGAAATCGAAATCTGATTTCTAGGAGAAGGTGAGGGTGGGAGGGAGCTGCCGGAGGCGGGCGGGCTGGAGGACTGGTGGAGGGAGGCCCCGGAGGCTGCGGCGGGTTCCCGCGCGGGGGAGCGAGTGGGCCGCCGCCCGGAGGGTACGCTGGGGCTCTGAAATGCAATGTGTAAACAATCGCTAGAGTAACAGTTCATAAATCAAACCCAGTAGGTCGCAGCCCAATCTGCATTCCCCCCACGGATTGAATTCTAGCAACACATGCGTCCCTGCGCCCCGAGCGCTGGAAGCTGCCCGGATTCTTAATGGCAGCATATATTACCGCGGCCAGTTCACGCACGCGCCGCGCCCGGCCACTCCTGGGAACAGTTTCACCCGCCACCCCCCTACCCAGCCCCTCCTCCGTCGATCCCCTATTCTCAGCCAAAAGCAAAGGAGATCCTCCCTGCCTGCGCGGAGTGGTCACCCACAGGGAACGTTGGTTGTTTTGGAAAATAGCGTTTGGTTTTGATCATTTCGTTTCAGTGGTTATTTTCGGTCCAAGTATAAGTAGAATGATTCTACCCCGAGCTCAATCCCTGGAATTCAAATTAAAATGTCTGAGCCCGTTTTAAATACGAATCTATTTAATGAGGGGGAGGAGAACAGTGGAAAGAGGGAGGGTCTTCTATCATTTTTGCCAGGAGAGCTCGCCGCCTCCTGTCGGTATCTCTCCCAAGGAAACCTGGGGGCGAACCGGTGCACACAACTGGGCCCCTTGCTAGCCGAAGGAAAACGCACGCATCGCTCTCCCCAGGCTTTGGGGGAGGGAGGCATCCGCGACACACGGAGGATGCCCCTCCCCTAGCAGCGCGGGTTTCCCACCTGGAAATCTGTCTCCTTCGAGATCTGGGAGGAGGCGAGGCTGAGGGAGGAGACCGAGGCGACGGGGCGGGGAGGACTGGGAACGCGGGCTCGTTTGCTCTCCCAACAAGGTTCTTCTCAAGGAACCCCGTCCTCCTGCGGCCCCAACTGCCTCCCCAGAGGGAGGGCGCTCCACCGCCACGTCCTTCCACGCCCCCACTCCGCCCTGCCCCCGGTCGTCCTGGGGGTGCCTCGAGAAAGCTTGGTGCCCACCGTGTTGGGGGCTCCTTTGCCCTGTCCTAAGCCGGCACCACCAGCACGTGCGCTCGGGAGGAGCCCCAGGATTGGGAACGCGAGTCTCGGAAACACAGGCTGCGGCATCTGGCTCGTCAGAGAACATCTCTTCCTGTTGTGGTGATTGTTTAGATTATTATCGCGCCGTCTTCGACTATAATTTGCTGTTTAATCATGATGACATCTCCATATGTTAGTTGTTGTTTTTAAGCAGCAACGCAGTAAGCCCTGTTCCCAGCTCAGTGAGATATTAACCAGGGTGCGCACACCCCTCACCCAGATGGGGGTGGGGAACCGAGTGGGTTTCGGGCACCAAGGAAATGGCCATACCAACATCCACCTCTCCCAGCAGCTTCCCTTGCTCTTGCACGGCCCATTGCCATGTGGCCCACCGGCGCTGGCTCTGAGAGCCTCTGAGAACTTGTTGGGATTGCAGAAGCGCCCTCCTTCACTCCACTCCCTGCCCAAGTAGATACAAGACACAGAAGTTCACTTGAGTGCAATATTTGGTTATCCTCGTGAAAATATCAGAGAGGTCAGCTCCAGAGCCCTTGGGAAGGGGAAGTAGAGGGAACAAGGAGACGGCAAGAGAAGGAAGACTTGAAAAATGGGGATGCAGAGGAAGATGGGGAAAACATCCAGAAATAGAGTCAGCAGAGGGGAGAGAGGGAGGCGAACTTCTTAAACACAGACAGAGATGATGGAGAGACTTCGAGTTGGAGATGGTAGAGTTGCAGAGGCATGAAGGATAGAGAAGAAATTGGGACTAATTTTCGTTCAGGACTCTCAGAGAAGCAAATGCGCACAAGGACCACCGTGCAGATTCTCTTTATGTGGATCCAGAGATGCTTTCACTCCAGCTGGAGCCTCAAGGGTAGTGCCACAGTCATCACAGAGCCTCGAGCCTGTGGGCTAGGCAGGCCTGAGGGAGGTGCGTGGCAGGCGAGAACACCAGCCCCCTCCACACTCCAGAGCGCGTCCCTGGAGAAATCAGATGGCTGAGAGGAGAGGAAGCCTTTCCTTCTTTCCTCCTTTCCCCCTATACCCCTTCCCCCCCTTCCTGAAACTCCTCCAGATCCAGGCAGGGCTGCTTCTGGGAAGGTCTCCAAACGTTCTCTCCCTCTCCCTCTCCCACTCCCCTGCACACACAAGGTTCTGTGCACGGCAGCTCCAGGCTGGGCGCCAGCAGTCCTGGAAGCATCCACTCTCTGGAACAGTCTACTGCCGGGTCCCGTGCGACCAGAGAAAAGGTCCACTTGTCTCACCGCTCCAAAACGTTGCTTCCCTCCTCCCTTGCCCCTACTGGGAAAATAAAGTGGGGACGGGGCCGTGAGGATGCCAGTTGTATGGCTGGAGCAAGACCCATGGTTCTCCGCCTGGCAAGCCCTGCCCCCTCAAGTCACTGCCGGTGGGGCATCAGGGAACTTTGTAAGGCTATAGTTTGTTCCCTCCTCTCCCAAGGAGAAGAGTGTCTCCCAGTGACCCTTCCTTGATGTTGGCGCCCCGAACCTCAGCCACAAACCCCAAAGCAGGAATAAAGAAACCCTGCCCAGCCCTGCCCACTTGAGCCCCCTGGAGTGAAGAGGAAGGGTAACATTCCCATCCAGATTCTCACCCTGGAAGGACATGACCTTTAGAGTGAGGACTTCAGAGCCAAAAGACCTGTTACCAGCTGCATAATCTTGGGGGGGGTGTTACTCAACCCCCATTTCCTCCTCTGTAAAATGGCGATAATCATACCTACCTCGTTGGGTTGCATTTTGTTTCCGATGAGATAACATAGGTAAAACGTTTTCCAACTTCATGCCTCTTACCTAATGTTAGGTATTATTTTTGCTTTCTCCTGTCTCTATACCAGCTTAATCCGATAAGTCTTGCTGAATTCTTCAAAACAACCCCTAGTAGAAAGCCTCATTATGACCCGTAATACTTTGGGGAAGTTTTTCTTCATAGTCTAGCAGCTTAAATTCCTCTTGCTGCAGGCTACTTAGCGCTCCACCCCACTCTGGCCTTCTCAGAGGATGCTCTAGTTAAGCTCCTTGAATTAAGTCAGCTGCTCCACACCGACTGTGCCCTCAGACCCTCCACCCACACCCCTCCAGCACTGGCTTTCACTGCCTGCCAACCCCCACCATGGAATCCCTAGGTTCTCTGAGAACTGACCAGATTTACCTTGGAGCTTCCTCAACAGTTTCCCTTCTTTCTCTTCTCTCTGCTATTTATATTATAATCACTTATTATAAATTAGTATTTATATTAAATTCCTCTTCCCAAATGAAAAAATAAAGTATTTATGTCACCATCAAAGCAATACATTGATACATAGAAGGAAAACAAAGTAACCCATCCTGCCCTGTTAATAGACAGATATGTATCCTTCGATACTTTTCCCCATGCTCTGAAAACATTGACATGAACCCATTCACAGGGTAGAGAAGTTTTTTTCTTTCTTTCTTTCTTTCTTTCTTTCTTTCTTTCTTTCTTTCTTTGAGAGAGAAAGAGCACGCACAAGCGCCAGTGAGGAGGGGCAGATAATCTTTTTTTTTTAAAGATTTTATTTATTTATTTGAGAGAGCGAGCATGAAAGTGGGGTGAGGGGCAGAGGGAGAAGCAGACACCCCACTGAGCAGGGAGCCCGATGCGGGGCATGATCCTGGACGGGGATCATGACCCCAGCCATAGGCAGACAGCAGATGCTTAACTGACTGAGCCACCCAGGTGTCCCAGGGAGAGAGAATCTTCAGCAGGCTCCGAGCTCAGCACAGAGCCTGATGTGGGGCTCAATCTCAGGACCCTGAGATCATGACCTGAGCCAAAATCAAGAGTCAGACTGAACCACCCAGGTGCCCCAAGTTTTTTTTTTATCTTAACAAAATTATGATATATGTTTCTTTTGTACCAAATCCTTTCAGATCAATAACTAAACAAATAACTCCTTTTAAATAGTTACACAATATTTCTCAGATGGCCATACTACAATTTATTTAATTCTCTACCCATTGATAGACATTTAGGTTTCCCAGTTTTTTGTTGCCCTACAAATATTGTTATAATAAGTATTCTTGTTCAAACAACCGTATGTATCAGTATTTTTGTTTCTTCAATAGAATAGATTCTGCCAAAGTTGGATTGCTGGCCAGAAATATATGTATGTGT